GCGCAGCAGTGCACGCCTTGCGTAGAGCTGCTAGCTCTTGCGACCACCAGTACACCTGGCGCTTTTGTTGCCTCGACCGGATCCGGGGCATCGCCACGTCACAGATCCTGGACATGGCGTCCTGGAGCCACTTGGCCTCATCGTCTATGTCGGCAGGCCTGACCGGTGGTATCACCCAGGCCTGCACGATGGCGGCTTCCAGGAGCAGCTCCCGGTCCAGCTGTTTCAGCGCCCAACGCGGGCCACATGGGGCCTGTCTGACCGGCGGGTCTGCGGACTCGGCGGAGACGTCGAACCGGATATACCGGTGGTCGGAGTACGTCTCCACCTCCTCCATGACGCGCCAGCCAACAATACGCGGTGACAGAGCAGGGCTGGCGAACGATATGTCCACCACCGACTCGCCCTGCATCCGCACACACGTGGGGACAGAACCCCGGTTCAGGACGACTAGGCCTGTCTCAAGGGCCCAGTCTTCCACCATCCTACCCCGGACGTCGGTGAACCGGGAACCCCAAGCCAAGTTTTTGGCGTTGAAGTCCCCGAGGACGAGCACGGGGAGGGAACGGAACCCGACGACGACAGTGACCAACTCCCTCAAGGAGTTGTGGAACTCGGCGAGAGTTCGGTTCGGAGAGAAGTACACGCCCACCACAGCGAGCTCTCCGAACCGTGCTGCGACACAACCCCGGCCTCTTTGAGCAGCCTCAAGAGTCGGGGTACCGGCGGCGGCCGACGAGATGATGGTCACCGAGCCGTCCAGGTCCGCCACCCAGTGATCCCTGGGCGGGACAAAGTACGGCTCGGAGACCACGGCGACATTGATTGACCACTGCGCCATGCTCTGGAGCAGGAGATCCTGAGCAGCGGCGCAGTGGTTGATATTCGCCTGGAGGAGGCGGAATGGAGCCATTATTGGCAGTCCATTCCGACCTCCTCAGTGGCGGCAGCGGCGACTGCGGTGGCAGTGGCGGCGGCGGCGGAGACGACGGGGGCGGCGGAGGGCCTACTTTTGCCCTTGGGTTTGGCGGGAGGGGAGCAGCCCTTGCTCCCGACCCGGTGATTGGCCGGCTTGCCAGCCGCCGCACATGCGTTGCAGTGCAGCGGGGCGTTGCACGAGCCGGCCTTGTGACCGGGCCGACCGCAGCGGAAGCAACAGTCGCTGCGGTCCACCTCCGAGGTGCATTTGACGCTCACGTGCTCCCCCACGTGACAGCGGTAGCACCTCAGAGGCCGGGTCTCGAGCAGCTTGACCTGCGCCGAGACCCATCCCACCAAGAGCCTTTTGCCCTCCTTTAGCTTTTTGGCCGCTGTGACGGGGCAGCTGACCACAACAGTGCGCAGCCCCGAGTTGTCCGGGCGGATATGTATGTCTTGGATCTTGCAATGAAATAAATCAGAAGATTTACACTTACAGAAAATTGGATTCGAATGACTTAACGCCCTTTAATCTCTGAAGGATGGGTGACATTCCATGTAATAGGGGGTGGGATCATTTTAGATTCCCTACCTATTACTAACAAGTCTAAAGACACCCAAAACGTCTAGCATGGCTTGAAACTAGTGGAGTTTCTCGTCAAATAATAACGTGAATGGGTCGAAAAACATACCAATCAAGTATTAATTTTATTTCTTTTAAGGTTATTTTCTTGTTCTGTCTCTTTGACTGAATTTTGGTGTTACATAATTAAATCAACGAAACAATGTAACCAAGAATTGTGTTGTGAACTGATTGAAAAAGGGTAAATTATTGAGTTTCTTGCTCGTTATCAATAGGAATCTACACTTTGGAAGGAGCTTTAGGGAACAGAGAGTATAGTTCCCTAAGATCGGAAAAGGAGGATCCTCCGACCAGGCGAGGTGATCGTGTCTGGCGGGCTCTCTGCCCAACAGTTGCTCGTTGGGATTTTCTATCCGTGTTAAATCGAATGTAAACTTCGCATGTGCGATGTAGGATTTTATGACGTCATCCGTTGACTTGTGACACGTGTCGCCACAGAGCAAATAGCTTCACTAGACGACTGACCCACAAAGCGACTTTTTTAATAACATAACATAACAAAGCATAACATAACATTACGCCTTTTATCCCCGAAGGGATAGGCAGAGGTGCACATTATGCCACTGTACAATATAACACCCACTTTTCACTATTTATGTTATGAGTCCCATGCAATAGGGGGTGAGCCTATTGCCATTGCTATATACCGGGCACAATTCCAGACTCCGTGCTACTACTGAGATTTGTTTTTAAATCCAGTTATACTTTGCCCGACACGGGAATCGAACCCGAGAACCCTTGCCGCTAGTCGCACTTGCGACCACTCGGCCAACGAGGCAGTTGACTACTACTTTTTTAATAATATATTAATTTAATATTTGTTTGACGTTCAAATTTGGCTTAAAATACTTTCAATTTCACCCAACTAGTACCTATCTATAATATAGTCTAGTATCACTACAACATTTCTCAGTTTAATCCAAATATAGTCCCCACTCGGTACGTTCATATTATTCCTTTGACTAAAACTCTCCGAGGTGACCTCCCGATGTCAGAGGAACACGGTAGGTAATAAAATTTAACTCGTGTTTCTGAGAACGATGGCAATCTACTGTTCATGATGACTAACAGTCCCAGAGGGTAAGTTCTTGTATTTTTTGCTTTAGTAAATAAATGTGAAGTGGGTTATTTGTTTTGTTTGTGGGATTTTGAGACTCAGGTCATGTAACTAAGACCTATTTTAGAGGTTATGGGGTATTTAAAGAGTGTCCTATATTTAATATCTTGATGAAAGTGATAAATTAATATAGGTAATAATATGGCGATAGGCTCACCCCCTATTACATGGGACTCATAAGATAAATAGTAAACAGTGGGTGTTACATTGTACGGTGGCATATTATGTACATACATATTGTACTACATTATAAATTTTGACCTCACGTATTATTAGCGTCAAACAGCATACTTATTTTTATAAATTACCTGGAAAAAAAACTAAAATGAAGTTGGTTATAAAAACAATTAATGAAAGTGTGATTATTTTGTAATATATTATTGTATTGAACAGTCGAAATAATTTGCCTATATTTGATTAAACTGTAAAACACCAAGCGGTCACCGGTGATCGCAACCTATTGTTCTATAATTGTGTCTACAAAACCGGTACTCTACGAGTTAAGGAGACTACCCAATTCATCTACAACTCTTGAAAAGTGGGCACTACATTTAAAAACATGCATCTCAGTCCTCCAAGAACAAAAATGTAACATCACAAGTATCTATAACACACACACACACACACACACACAATTAAACATAGTTCAATGAAGCACAAAGATAACAAGGTCACTTTATACGGATTGTTTTATCCTATATTTCATTAAGGAGAGTACCCAATTCATCTATAACTGTTGAGAAGTGAGCATTACATTTTAAAACATGCACCTCATTCGTCCAAGAACAAAAAATGTAACATCACAAGTATCCACAATACACACAAAATGAAACACAGTTCAATGAAGCACAAAGATAACAAGGTCACTTTATACGGATTGTTTTATTCCATAATAATTAATCTTTTACGTTTCCTCTCGACTCCATTTATATCGGATGCGTGGCTGACACGAAAGAGCTCTCAGCACTCGAAACACGTAATGGATTCAATTCTTTTTGTTTTTTCTTTTCCTTTGTTATATAATACAGGAGCATATAAATTGAAAAATGTTGTCTTTTGACGTATATTTCGGTGTTGGTTAGTGGTGAATAAGGTTATGGCGGGTTGGAGATTGGGGCTTAAAAGGTTTGTGTTTATCAGAGATCACTTGTGTCTGGTCTCTGTCAAATGTGTAATTTCATAGTCAAAACTCAAGGGTAGGAGTGGCGATTAATATAAGTTTACTCTTATGTTATTAAACCACGTACCTTATTTATGCTTATGATAGAGGTATAATTCTTTTATAAACCACTAGCTTTTACCCATGCGACTTCGCTCGCATCACAAAAGGTTATAAAGTAGCCTTTTTTTTTTAAGGGGGTAAATCATCGAATGACTGCTCCCGCCTGGGTGAGGCGGGAGGGAGTGTCAGACTCTTACTGACTAAAAACCACCCCGTTCCTTCTCCTGCACGTCGAGCCGGAGCCCCGGTTACCCGTTAGGTTCTCCGCGACTCCGAATCGGCATCGGCCCTATTGGGCCCCATCTGTGGTGGTCTGATGGCTCTTTGAGGCGCGCGCGGAACGCGACGCGCCGTACGCTCGGGTCTGTTTCTGGTCGGACGGGGAGCCACCCATGCTCGCCGTCCGCAGGCCCGCGCAATACGGTGGCCGGAGATCGTCCCGCGATCCCCGACGCCCGGTGTGTCATTCGCGAAAGCTGAGTTGAGAGGAGGCAGAGCTACGCTGCCTCACGCGTCCCGCCTCCTCCTTAGCTAGCATGACTGCTTCGCAAAGCATGACTGCTTCGCAAAAAGTAGCCTATGTGACATACACCAATACACACAGCGCCATCTATACCAATACTTTTGTTTTTCCTCGGGAATATCAAATTTTTCCGGGATAAAAAGTACTCAATTATTTAATCCGGACTTCTAACTATACATCTGCAAAAATTCAAAGCAATCGGTTTAGTAGTTACGGCGTGAAAGCGAAATTTTGAAGTTAATTAATATACTAAAACCTTCTCCTAATTGTAACAAATACTATTCTAAAAACCGCATCGAAATCGGTTCGGCCAATCGCGATATTATCGCGCGCAAACATACATACATACTCTCTCTCTCCTTCTCCCTTCTCTCTCTCCTCCCTTATCTCTCTCCTTCTCTCTTCTCTCTCTCTTTCTCCCTTCTCTCTCTCCTTCTCCCTTCTCTCTCTCCTTCTCTCTCCTCTCTCCCCTTCTCCCTTCTCTCACTCCTTTCCCACCTCTCTCTTTCAAAGGTACTAGGATTATAATAGAATGCTATGTTTAAGTAATAACTCAAAATTTATTTGTTTGTTTCAGGTGTGGATCCCACGACAGCAATGTCGGTGGAGGGCCAACGATGCCTGTGTGTTGTAGTGCTACTCATACACACAGTCACAGGCGCCGGAGAAGGTAACTTATATATCATTCATACAATTCGTAATTTTTGAAATAAGATTAAACCACTGCCTCGTTGGCCGAGTGGTCGCAAGTGCGACTGCCGGGCAAGGGGTCTCGGGTTCGATTCCCGGGTCGGGCAAAATATTACTGGGTTTTTAAAATAACTCTCAGTAGTAGCACGGAGTCTGGAATTGTGCCCGGTATATGGTAATAGGCTCACCCCCTATTACATGGGACTCATAACATAAATAGTGAAAAGTGGGTGTTACATTGTACAGTGACATAATGTACACCTCTGCCTACCCCTTCGGGGATAAAAGGCGTGATGTTATGTTATGTTATTAAACCATGATTGTGTATTATCTTCTCTATGTCATATAACATTTTTTGACATAATTTAATCTTATACTTACTATTATATGAATCGGAAGAGTTTTTTTTTTTGTTTGTTTGTTTGCGCGCTAATATCCGTAACTACAAGTCTGATTTGAATAATTATTTTTGTGTTGGATAGCGCATTTATCGAGGATGGCTATAGGCTATAAAACATCACGCTACGACTAATAGGAGCTGAGCAGAGCGTGTGAAACCGCGCGGAAGTAGGTAGTTTGATATAAATTAGGTTTGTTATAATTTGAATTGATATAATATTTATAATGAGGATAATAATATTATTATTCATTAATAATAATGTTTATAAAACAAATCAAATATCTTGATTTGGCTCACGAGGTTGTCGACATGTGCAAAGTAGATTCGGCTATCATTGTGCCGATAGTTGTGTCGGCCAATGGATTAATCCCTAATAGCCTCGACAACCACCTTAGGAGGCTAGCGTTAGGCAGTTGGGTCAAGGGCCTTATACAGAAGGCAGTTCTCCTTGAAACGGCGCGCATTGTGAGGAGGTTTCTGTCTCTGGAGCCCTAACCACCGGTAGCTTGGACCATGCTCCCGCTACTGGTCGGCTCCTATTTTTTATATTTTTAAATATATATATTTTTTTTTTTTTTTATAAGTAGTATTTAAAACTGTAATTTATAGAGAATTTTAAATAAATATATGGAAATAATAAATGTTTATAAGGAGGATAATAATAATATTATTATCTCATTTTAAATATGTTCGTTGGTTTATACCAAATTTTGTTTTAAAATTATTTCATGCTACGTATTTTAGCTATAAATTTTATTATTTTAATGAATAAGAGACCCATGATAATTATGCTTATACGTATTAGTATGTATGACTTTCGAAAAACCCTAAATGAGAGTAATAAAGAATTTTGGAAAAATTTTTTTTGCGTAAAACAATATTTTTTTACAATACATACCAACAAGGCTGTGCTAACTCAGAGCTCAGATACATAGATCAAACATAGAACAAAAGCAATAAATAGTCAGCTATTCTGCCTTTCAATTCAAATAGTACCAAGCTAGAAACAAAGCCAGTTTACGAAGGTCTCGCATACAAAAAAAAAACAATTACATTAACAAAATAATTGAACTAAAGTATCATTGTTTTATTAAGAAGACCACAAAAAAGAACTAATAAAATACATTTACAATTGTATGTAAGTACGTACGTATACTTTTTCTACAAAAACCTCTTTTGTGAGAGAAGAAAAATCCAATAATTAGCTTCTAGTCCTAAGAGGCAACGCATTATCTCGAGTAACGTGCTAAAGTCAACTTTATTTCTTTAGGTGTACGGCTGACAATGAAGCTATCAATTTGCCAATTATAGAGGGATTCCTTAAGGACCTAAGTGTGTAATAAAGACCTGGATAAAGTTGGATTCCAATATATTTGGTACTGAATTCTACCTACAAAGAGAAACAAAAGTATCTCAGAATCCGTATAATAAAATGATCTAACTCGCTGGTCGAGTAAAATAATTATCTATGACTGAATATCATGAGGTTTCTGGTCCAACTATTGGTTTAAAAAAATGTTCTTATAGATCTTCAAACTTATTTTAAAGTATTTTTTAAACTTGTGCCCATGATCCGCGAAGCGTTTATTTTGGAGGGGAGAAATTCATCAGACTGTCTCGTTGGCAGAGTGGTCGCAAGTGCAACTGCCGGGCAATGGACCTCGGGTTCGATTCCCGGGTCAGGCAAAGTATTACAGGGTTGTTTTAAAAAAATCTCAGTAGTAGCACGGAGTTTGAAATTGTGCCCGGTATATGGCATTAGACTCGCCCCCCATTACATGGGACTCATAACATAAATAGTGAAAAGTGGGTGTTACATTGTATAGTAGCATTAAGTTTCGTAATGTACACCTATGCCTTCCGAGGATAAAAAGGTGCGATGTTATGTAATTATGTAGAAATTCATCAAATAACTACTCCTGCCTAGGCTGAGGCGAGAGGGAATGTCAGACTCTTGCTGTTACGTATTAAAAACTATACCGTTCCCACTTTGCTTCGAGCCGGAGACCTGGTAATATGCTACCTATAACGTGACTAACAACTTAACAGACAAAGCATATACATCAAATAAAAGTACCGAATAAATACAGTTAACGAAATAATAGGTCTTTGTGATAGTAGCTAGAACATTCATAAAGCAAAATTTCGTTCATAAAAAGCAATATTTGCTCCATAAAAACTAACTGTCGTCCATATTCAACGCCACTTAAATTGAATACGCTAAAATATTTAAATTAAAAAACAAAAAGTAAAAATCTAGTCTAAAACTCGACTATATGGAGTGAATAATATTCCAGCAACTCTATTTAAAACCTAGACTCTAAACGAAAAGGCTGAACTATCTGGCTACATACAAAAAAAAAGAAAATAAAAAATATAGGTACAAGCCACATAAAAGTCCGCAGAACGAAAGTTAGTTGTTAGTGTACCGACAACAAAAAAAGTAACTGAATAAATAACGCCTCTGAGGTTTAAACGGCGAGCTAAATGTTTTTTGCTGACTGTGAGTGATACTTAATTTGGTGCGAATGAATCATTTTTGTTTATGTGTGTGTTGATTGGTTTATTTGTGAATTTGTTATTGGCTGTAATTGTTTTGAGTTGGTTTTATGACCTTTAACTCGTCGAGTATCGTCATTATAGACACAATTATAGAACAATAGGTTGCGGTCACCGGTGACCGCTTGGTGTTTGACAGCTTAAACGAGCAATGCTTGTATATATTTATATATGCCAACTATCTCGGAAACGAATACGATTTTCTAGTAATTTTGTATTTAGGGGGTTTCGGACGCGATAAATCAATCTAGTTAGGTTTCACTTTCAGAAATATTTGTCCTATTTTTTTCTATATTTTTTTTACTGCCTCGTTGACCGAGTGGTCGCAAGTGCGACTGCCAGGCAAGGGGTTTCGGGTTCGATTCCCGGGCCGGGCAAAGTATTTAGTTAGTTTTATAAAAAAATTCTCAGTAGTAGCACGGAGTCTGGAATTGTGCCCGGTATATGGCAATAGGCTCACCCCCTATAACATGGGACTCATAACATATATAGTAAAAAGTGGGTGTTACATTGTAGAGGTACAGTGGTATAATGTGCACCTCTGCCTACCCTTTCGGGGATAAAAGGCGTGATGCAGCTTATAGGCTGTAGAGGAAGAAGTAGTTTTTCTATATTAGTACACGTATTATGGTATGTATGTCGTTGTGGCATTTAATGTTGTGTTGTATGTTTTTTTGTTGACGTTCAAAAGTGCCATTCTGGCCTAATTGAAATAAATGATTTTGACTTTGACTTTGACTTTGTTGTAAGTCCCATCACAAATAATCAGACTACAAACAAACTTCATTCATAATTCTGAACTTTCAAAGTCATAAAATCCAATAACATGTCTGACTTGGGAACTACATCACATAATTATTCGAAATTTTGAACGCCGCATTCAGCTGCGCTCGATAACTGACCAACGAAGGAGTCATCATAATTATGGAACTACCAAACTATTAGGTTGAGTTATAGAAAACGGGTAAAATTATTCAAGGATCATAACTAGACCAAATATATTCCATGGTTTATTGTCCAGCTGTTTTAAAACTTTTCTGCGACGTTAAAATAACATAACATAACAGCACGCCTTTTATCCCCGAAGGGGTAAGCAGAGGTGTACATTATACTACTGTACAATGTAACACCCACTTTTCACTATTTATGTTATGACTCCCATGTAATAGAGTGTGAGCCTATTGCCATATACCGGGCACAATTCCAGACTCCGTGCTACTAATGAGATTTTTTTTTAAAAACTATGCCCGACACGGGCATCGAACCTGAGACCCCTTGCCCGGCAGTCGCACTTGCGACCACTTGGCCAACGAGGCAGTTAAAATAACAATTCGAAAAATATCGTCGCATGACTCCTCACGGTAACTTAACAATATAGGTACTCACATTTTTAACAATCTATGTTCATGAAAAAAAAAATTAAAGATAAAGATAAATATTTCTAGACAGATCAAAAATCACACCCTTTAAACCAAACCTCAATTATACAACACCCTTTAAATCAAAGAGCGCTAGCCAAGCGATATTGTTTTCTAAAACAAAACATTTTAAGATATATATTACAATGAGATTGGGAACAAAGGACCAGAAACCAGGACTAACCTATCATGATTAAACTGTGAGCCTACTCTCCGAGGGAGGAGTTAGGGGATCAAAATTAATGTGGATTTTGCACTGAATACCGGACGCAATATAAATAAATGCAGAAGGTTCAGCATATCAGTAGTATATTTTTTTATTCTCGCTGTAACGTTGCTTGATTAAGTATTAAATATTGAGAAAGAAGGTTTTAAATGTCACTTCACATCCCTAAAGAGCTCACTACTAGATCACAGTTATAGCTCCCCTTTACTACAGGGCCTTCTATTATCTTCATGCCTGACTTATGGTTTAGACATCACAGTTTATGGATTTGTTTTAAACTGTCAAACACCGAGCGGTCACCGGTGACCGCAACCTATTGTTCTTTAATTGTGTCTATAATGACGGTACTCGACGAGTTAAGGGGGGAAAATCATCGA